CGAATGGTTCTGCCTTCGCCTACTCTCATCTTATGAATGTCCCACACATCTCTGCTGCAGATGTTAACGCGCGATTAGAGGTCTCCCTTCGACGAAATGCGATGGAATCTCTAATTTTATTATAAAAGCCTTAACTGAAATACTCAATCCCCTTTTACATTACATTTTCAATCTTAGTTTATTGACTGGGAGTTTTCCAACACTTTGGAAACAGGCGGCTTTTCGATCTTAAATAATTTTTTTTCCAAAATTGTTGAATGTATTGTACACGGTCGCCCTTTGCTTCAATCTCAAATTTAAGTTACATCCTATTCATCACGGCTTTATTAAATCAAAATCTACACTAACAAACCTAGTTACTTATCTAAATGATGCTCTACCATCTTTCTACTCGCAGGGACAATTTGACTGTGTAGATCTCGATCTTAGCGAGGCCTTCGATAAGGTCCCTCATTTTCTTCCTTTGAATAAACTCAGTAATTTTGGGCTGACTTCACTTTACGTTAAGTGGTTCCAAAGTTACAAATCACCTAGAACTTTTCCTTGGTTTGAATCTCAGGAAAGTCCTCTGTGTTATCTGAAGTACCTCTCCTATTCAATGTATTTATTATTTTATTCGTTTTGAAATTTCTGTGTCTTCATTGTCTCTTGATTCTCAATAAGACCCTGTTGATTGGATGATATTGCAGATAATGGAGGAGATTATAAAAGAATTTTGTTTAACGACGTCTGTTCGTACTTGTTGTCAAACCTAGAGTTCATCTACGTGGGCAGAATCTGGTGAGTAGTAATCTTTGTGGATCTTCCTTCTGGTTTGTCAGAAAAGTACCAACTTGCGAGACAAAAAATCTGATCCAAGACGTTGAACTTTTTTACTTTTCTCACTGAGAAATGAAAAAAAAACCCTAAAACTCCGTATAAAATCTTTGTTTTCTTCAAATTAGATAAACCGGATTATCGCCAATTTTTCTCTCGTCTAAATTTAAGAGTTTTCAAATTGCATTCTTCCACACTGATCTTGCCCAAAATGGTCAACGGATCTGTAATGAAGCCATTTTTATTTATATCTTGTAAAATGGGCACTCGTTCGTTAGAGACGATTGTAACTAAATTTGTATTTACGTTTTAACATAATCCACACTAAAGTCAAATATATTTTTTGAACACTGGTAACAACGATTATAAATCAGAAAGCTTACCTTCTGTGGCCTGAAATTAGGTAATCGTTTCTCAAACTACACATCTGTCGCTTTTATTTAAAATAAGTTAAGGTAAAATTCCTTGCCACTCGTTTTTTATATATCCCGCTGAGATGAAAACCGAAACATGTCGTGAAAAAGATGACGCTCTAATTGTAAATCGAACATTTCGATAGAAAGAGCGTCATTTTAATATATTTTAAATATTAAATGTTAATTGTAATAATAATATTTTAATATTTAATAAAATATTTTATTGTTATTAGACGGTTAAAATTAAACAATTATATTCCCGCTCTCAAAATACGTTTGAAAGTGCATTTCGGACACAGCTTCATTAACTCCGATGAGTTACCGACGTCAGTTCCTTTAAACATGAAATTTCAAACATTAATCATCACTTCTCTACTCCGGTTACCTCTTGTATTCAATTTACTCCGAATAAAAAGAAATCTAAATGAAATTGTACACTCAACAGGCAGTTGACTTAGTCACGGTAATGACGAAATCAGTTCCGCGTCCCCTTGGGCGCCATAATACATAGTTCAAGGTCAGGTGCCCCCATACCAAAGCGACAAGACCTGCTGGGCTGCCCACCGCCACAAATCGACTGAAATATCGATATGATCCAGCGACTGTTCACCTTCCCTGTTAATAATGATACGATCCATGGGAACTTAATTGGCTGTATGAGGACGGCGTTCGAGATTCTGATGACAGATGAAGGAGCCTAACTAACTAACTAACTAAGTGGTTGTGGTATGTTCGTTAGACACACTTGGTCGACGTTGACCTAGAGAAGGAGAACTCAGGTAACAAAACACTTCTCAGGTACTAGATTAAATAAAGCGATGTCTGCTCATTTTAGTATAAAATATTCAGCTCTGAAGATGGAGGCAGTTGGCGTCTACGTACAAGTCCACACGGCGTTATAATCCATAAGACCAGAGTCAATAACGCTTTAAAATTTACAACAAAAACCCAAAAATATTTTCCATTCTCCCACTTAAGTCAATTGCTTCTCGAATTTCCAGCTGACGGACTGACGGACCAATAACATAAACATTCGAAGTTGCAAACGTAAATTCTAGACAAAATCCTCTTGTCTATAAATACAATAATTAATGTATTTATTTATAACAAATTTAAATAAAGTAATTTTGATATAATTACGAAGAATCGGAAAGCAATCTTGTACACATAACAGCAGTCTCTCGGTATTTCACCACTGACGTCCACGCGTGTGCAGACAGGAGGCCAAGGGGTCAACACTCATGTGGTATGGGCAAACATTTACAGCTGAAGAACGTGTCTGGAGAATCCATTTCCATTACAGACGGCACTGTTACACTTTTTTTTTGGTTCCAGAATGTACAGCTCGTCTCAAAGAACACACACGTCAAATCCATCCCTGATTTACCAAGATGTACGGATGGAAACTTGAAATTAAACTGGCCTCATCTGTGAAATCAAATGCGTAGGACAATATTTTGACGAAAGACAGATCTTCAACGGCGACCTGTAAAAAATACATTTTGCAAAGCCATGTTGGTATTGACGGTTGTATGAAATTGAAAAAAATATGATTTCAATGTATGTCCCCTATTGCATAAAGCCCATACCAAATTTTAATCAAATCCGTTCGGCGGTTTTGGAGTTTAATCACGCCAGGTGACCTTAACAGTTATTATTATTATTATTATTATTATTATTATTATTATTATTATTCCATCTATTCGCCATTTGACAGAGTATTCACTTCTATGTACCCCAGACAAATCTATTTCCGAAATACATTTTGTTTTTAATACGTGTTATATTCATTATATATTTTATTGTTAGAGATGACTACATATTTTACGACATCCTCTTTCGAATGACGTATGAAGATCCTAAAATGGAAGTTTTCTGAAGTTCCCTGATGTCGTGATCGCCCCGGAATGTTGGCCACATATACTGTATCAATGAAGAGACAAGTTCCATTTTTGTTTCGGATTATAATATCTTTTTTTTTATTTAAAATGGTTATATCTGTTTTGACTTGTTGGTTCCACGAAATGCTTATTTTGGTATCCTGACTCCTTCCATTGGGCGAATCCCAGTTTTAATAGAATTCCATCGGATGTCTAAAAACATTAATTTCAGAAGCCATTTCCAAATTAAATTTCGCCAAGATACGAAACTCGCATTGATTCATTTGTTTTAGTCACAACAGCAGGGTTTCAGCAGGGCCAGATAAACTCTGGCGCACTTAATATTCCCCTATTAGGCTATCAGTTACTCCCATTAGTACAGTCCAACGCTCAAGTATCATTAAAACATTTTTCCTGAGCTGAAAAATCGAGAAATAAAAAAGTTGGTGAACATTCTTGACTGTCTTCTGGTAGAAGTTTACTCATCGTCATGAAGATGGAGGCAGCAATGACCTTTGAAACGTCGGTAACCTTCTACGAGACTACACGGAGCTACAACCCAGATGTCAGCCTCGATGTAATGAGAACCTCAAATCATGAGCATATTTCAGATTTGAATACATTTTTCATAAATAATTTTGTATATTTCTTTGTCCTGAGTGTTCGTATATTGCAGACACGAGCAGATACTCGCGTTCAGACACCAGAACTTTTTCGAATAGAATTTTAATTCGTGAGAGATATCGAAACAGATCTCATAAGCCCTAAACAAAGTCTACTCTCATAACGATAATTAGCTCCAAAGTGTCATGAAAGTGACCTACGTTTCTCCTTATTTTCATCCATCATCTTCACATCGAAAAATGTATTTTTTTTTTTCAAAAATATGATTTGCGTAACATTATTTATCAGCCAACAATTCTTGTAAGATCATTTTAGGAATGAATTTTAGGTTGAAAACGATCAAATCTGGTACAAGCAATTCGGTTTCACCAGATTCCCTGCAGCTGTTTCGGACAGACGGACAAACACGAACGTGAGATCATTCTACGAGCCTTGAAGCTTCAATGAATTCATAAAAGTACCAAGTTTGAAGGCGAAAAATAGCGACACTGAACTTCGGAGAAATAGACGACGATCAGCGTGTATAAGTGAACGAAATGAAAAAGACTGGACGTTGAACACAAAGGAGATTACAAGTTCTGACGGCGACGGGTACAAATTTGACGTCGTCTACGATGTTGCGTCATTGATGAAGACATTTTAAATATTCCGACAAACTTTAGCGAACGAAACGAAAATTACCCATTTATTGATACGTATTTCGGACAAAGTTAAGAAATCAAAATATTATTCATTTGATCAAGATGATCACACCAAGAAAGATGAAATTTTGCCCGCATAAGAAAATGAGAAATGCGTACAAAATTTTGATTACAAAATCCAAGTGGAAGATGTTATTGGGAAGAACTAGATATAGATGGAAGGATAATATTAAAGTGGGTCTTAGGTAATGGGCTTTGGGGGTGTGGATTGAATTTATGTGGCTCGTTACAGAGAGAGGGGTATGTAAAGAATTTTCTCACCATACAAATTCAATACGTGAAATTGTAAAAAATGATCGGTTATTTCCCACTCTCTTCATGGACCAAAGTCCTTCTTGAGAAGCTGATTGTCGCTCAGCTTGTCAAGAAATGCGTCTTTTGCGGAATCTGATGGTTCAATACAGTACTCACAAAAACCTGCCACTGTGCTCATATCCTAAGCCAGATACATCCAATCAGAACCTTCCGAAAGTCTGTCAAAGTTCCAAGCATCTAAGACAAGTTCCTAGCCTACATCACGCCACTGATAATGTACCCACGACAAACGTAGTGCAACTGGGGTACTCAATCTAAATGACCGGGGGAGGGGGGTGTCAGTTTCCATGCTGGGGTATTCAACGTGTATGAAAGAGGGATCATCATGATTCCTGCAGGGGTACTCAACGTGTATAGCCGGGGTTTCACGGGGATACTCAGCCTGCATGACCGGGGGTCATTGTTTTCACGGGATACTCAACGTGCATGGCCGAAAGTCCTCTTTCTGAACGAGAACTCACGCTGTGTGATCTGGGATTACATTAGTGCAATAATTTCCCAAGTCCCCCAAAAAAAATACTCCTATCACGTCACTGCATTAACGACCCAGGCGCGATGTCGCGTAAAGAACGCCTTTCTAATTTCAGCGCGCTATAAAAAACACACTTTTCCAGTCCTGTTTCGCGTGTTGCCTTGTCTCCTGGTTACCAACGCCTTTCATGCCATCGTCATAATCACCAAAGACGTTCTTCTATGTCGTGGCCCTGTGGGTCATGACGCCGTACAATCTGGGAGTCGACCTCATGAAGGGCGTGTCTTCATTTAACCTCCGAGAGTAAGAAACCAGCTCATTTAGCAGGCGAGTGCCAGTTTGTGAAACTTAACACCATTTATAAATCAAAACACACGTCTCTCTGTTGCGTTTGGTAATAACTGCTCTGGTTTACGTCTCGTTTCTTGTTTTTGGCACATGATACATGTTCGATTCATCAAGGTATTTCACGCTACAGATGACCCACAATGTCCATCAATGTCATTTCAAAATAATCTGCTCTCAGCCAGTTGATAACTTCACAGCGACGTACTCAATCGATTTGACAGACGTTCTAAATGCGCTGCCCATCAAGTCTACCCAGTTAAGTGCATGTCCCGTCTTGAAACGACCGCTCCTGTCCAACATACAATTAAAACTTCTTTAAAATACAATTTCTATTTACAGAAACCACAAGTCGGTTTTAAAAGCCTGTCGGAAGCGATTCGAATGTCCTCACATCTGACTAATTTGTATAGACTTGTAGCAGAGTTGCAAATACTTGCTTAATTCAACAGGTAAAATATACATATTAGCCGTCCGGGCTTTGTGCACACATTGACAAATATTTATTTCCTTTTTTGGTAGAAATCTATGCAATGAACGTCCCCGTCAAGCCTAGGAATCGATTTCCAGACTTCCAACCCCAGCCCGTCACAGAATCGACTTGGTTTAATACCACATCGATTATTAAAAATGTTTATGTTAATTCAGCTAAAATCTGCGTCTGACTCACGATTTATATACATTCTGTCAGGTAGCTTTAACATCACGACGAAAGATATCCTAGAAACATAATACGTTTAGAAATGAACATTTTTCTCCTAACATAATAAACGTGAAGCAAATATAAAATATCTCTCAAAGATATATTATATATTATTTTAATGATTACATTTAAAATAATATACACAAAAATTTAAAATATTAAACTCGATATGAGATCACTTATGAAAAACTTGATTGTAAAATATAGTAACAGAATTACGTGACATCAAAATATGGAGAGGCGTGGAAATCTGACATTATAACCGTGAACAAGATGGAGGATATTTTGAAGAAACATTAAAATATCTTAAGACTTTCGAGTTCATATTATAAAATTAAAGCTTTTACAGGAATTAAGTACAAGAGGATTATAACAGCCTTGAATAAGCAATTATGAAAAATTAATCTCAAGTGGATACATTGATTGGAGAATGGAAGAATGTTATGACGACGATACGTAAACCTTCCGATAAAGCAACTGATGATGAAAATTACGGGGAAACAAAGCTTAAAGGTACAGGTACCAAATATACCTTTCGAAACACACTGAATTAACGAGGATTTAAGAATTGATTTGGCTAAGTCAGTTGTAAGAAACTTTCACCAGAATTCGTAGGATAATTTACTAGTGTAATTACAGGAATGAGAGAAAGATATAATGAGCTGATAAATATTACATAAAATCAGTGCATACAAAATTATAAATAATTATGTCATAAATCCTACATGACATGACCGAAGTACATGAAGGAAAATGTAAAACATAAAAGATACATTTACTTATGATTAATGACTGTAATTATTATAGTCTCTTAAAATGAATTTAAAAAGAGAAAAGTCACAAGAACAGATGGTACAAAAGTATAACTGCTTAAATATGAAGGTATTTATCGGCCTGCGAGACGAATGTACTCATTCTAAGCTAAGGTACCACCTACATTTAAGATAGGGAAAATAAATGCATTAATAATTTTGGAATTAGCTTCATTAATACCGAAGATAAATTTTATGTGAAATATAATTTAAAATAAAACACCGAAGACAAAGTTTATGTGAAATATAATTTAAAATAAAATACATACTACGTACATTTTAAATTCAGACTCGCCTACCACAGTTAAGCTACTGAAGATAACTTAAAAACATTTTAAGAAATTAACAAATAAAAATACGTAATGAAATTATAAGAGGTTATAAACATAAAAAATTGGAATGTTGATAATGATTTAGTTTTAATATTAACAACTGTCATTTCTTTTTACGAACCTCAACAGAGTCCACTCGCGAGTTATGGGAAATTAGACAATACTTTTATTTTCCGTCGTTTACACAAGCTTATTGTTAAAATCATATAAAATTTCACATAAAATTGTTACATTTTAAAATTGACGACATGTTTCGATATACAATCTTATCATCGTCAGGTCTATCAAAATTAAAATTAAAATCTGGTGTATCTGTTGCTCTGCTTATATTGATAGACCTGACGATGATAAGATTGTATATCGAAACATGTCGTCAATTTTAAAATGTAACAATTTTATGTGAAATTTTATATGATTTTAACAATAAGCTTGTGTAAACGACGGAAAATAAAAGTATTGTATTGAAACACAAGCATGATGCAATTAAGATATAAGCTGGGAAATTAGAATCAAATATCTCGATGTTATAATTGATATTAATTATTATTGTCCTTTAATGTGCACATTACAAATATGGTTCCGAGTATATATAAGAGGTTAGACTTTAAAATGAGAAAGTCAAAACATCTGAATGATACATAGTCTTCTGTTTACTAGCATAGAAAAGAGAAAATTTGGTCTCTCGCGCATAAATCATAACAAAATCAAACAGAATTCATAGAGAAGAGGTTTTTTGGATATGTGTCATAAAAATATTTGCCTATAAAATTTAAATATATTATATACAATTATTGAAAGGATTTATACTTATGTTAAGTCAGCAAAAAATATATCTTTATAAACAGAGTTTCAGACAATGTTAAAACTCTTGAACAATTATATTTTAGTAACAGGAAAGGTAATTTACTCACTCCAAATCTTATTTGTTACCGCGTCCCCAAAAAATTTATTATTCAAACATTCGCCATTACTTCAAATGTATAATGATTACAACAATATTGCACTAAATGCCCAAAAAATGTATTCTGGGAAGATTTTTTTCAATATTTAAAAAATATTTATTCAAATTGTTATATCCTCTTTCAAGATATTGTGTTTAATTAATACGTAGAAAGAATATTCTCACATGACTTTGAGAAATACGTAATTAACCTTTACTTTTCTTAGTAAAGTATTCATAAGTCAGTACTTTTGTCGATAATACATGAACAATAAATGAAATCGTATAAAAGGAAGGGAATTGAACAAATAAGCGCGTAAGAATATCGCTGATGTCGAAAAAGCGTTTGATCAAGTAGTTTTAGAGAAACATTTAACAGAAATAATGAGAAATCTATGGAATTTAACACAAACAGAAAATGACCAACTTTCTAATGAAATATAAATTTATCAAGGATTAAGAGTGAGTTCTTGCAAATGGCTGACGAAAGGATTAAACTAGATTCTGAATCAATGCATAATTTAAATTTTTACGTTTCAGAAACTTCTGGAAACTTTATTACATTACAGTAGAATAAAAATGGTATTCATAAACAGTCTTGGTTGAATAATTTATGCAATGACTTCAATTTTCAAATTTGGCTTTCAAAGCAAAGACCTCAAACCATTCTGAGGCAGTATTAAATAATGCAATAATAATAATAATAATATAAGATATTTCACAGTTTAATTATCTTAGCTAATAAAAATATAATTGCAGTGAGAATAAAAGAGAAAAATGCATTAATTTTTAAACATAAACAAAAAATTATTATGACACTTGCAAAGAAAGACTACACCTGAAAAAATGCTGGAGTTCAAAAATTCCAAAAATTTACTGAATATTCTTTTAACTCGTTCACCCACATCACTTTTAAGACTCCGTAATCACGAGGGGCTGAGAAATAAATCACTCAGTTGATTGAACTCGAATGTGTGCCTTCGTTCCTCACGTATGTGAATCTTATCTGAGAGCTCTATAAATGACGTTTGGGCACACAGCAATAAAACAGCCCCTCACACCAACTTAGTCAGAAATTCCGTCCGAGTCTGTTGACCAAAGGGGTCCTTGTATTTGGATGCAGTTAACCCTAATAATTCTTTCGTTGTCTGAGGTATATAGCCTTCCGCTAATTGCATGCAGCCAGGCTAGTCATAACTCAACACGCTGTTGGCGCATGCGTACTCTTCACACGATCACGTCCAGCGTCCATCCGCGTCCTAACCAAACCACACTGAATGTAGATTCACGATAAAATTTAGAAAAATTATATTCTCATAATACGGTATAGCGAACGTAAATTTTTCATTGTCAACAAACACAACTCCGTGAAGAAGTAGTGAGCAGTGGATGTAATGCAAAAGAAATTCTTAACCTCACTTTTATCATTATTGCACGTACAAAAAAAAAATAACAACATGGCAACCGAGCGAATTAATTTCATTTCATGACTGTAACCAATAAAACACTGGAACTTGACATATGATATTTAAATGAAACACGTTACAGTAATAATCCTAAGATGGTAAAGTTGCGTCATATTGTGATATAATAAGTTTATTAAATCTTGTCCTTCTAATCACAATAAATTCTTATTAAATATTAAAATATTACAATAATTAGCATTTTAAATAATATTTTATATTAATATTAATAATTAACATTTTAAATGTTAATTATTGTAATATTTTAATATTTAATAAGAATTTATTGTGATTAGACGGACAAGATTTAATAAACTTATTATATCACAATATGACGCAACTTTACCATCTTAGGATTATTACTGTAACGTGTTTCATTTAAATATCATATGTCAAGTTCCAGTGTTTTATTGGTTACAGTCATGAAATGAAATTAATTCGCTCGGTTGCCATGTTGTTTTTTTTTTTTGTACGTGCAATAATGATAAAAGTGAGGTTAACCTGTCTGATATTGTTAAAACACTGAGATGTAATCTTGTTAAATCTTAAATAAAAGTATCAAGCAGACTCATAGTAAAGTTTAATAAAGTTTTAACAACATCAATCCTGGAAATTGAATAAATTTGCTTCTTGTAAACTAATACTAAATTTCATCAAATATTTCTTTGCGGGATATTTGTTGCAAATATGTATCAAGTAACTAGTAATTTCTTAGATACATCTATAATAAACATTAATCGAATGACAGACGAACTATTTAAATTGATACGCGCCTGATCGTCTAAAGGAGACTCAGACAAAGTTTACATTCCTTAATAGCAGTCGATCGCCAAAGCAGAACAAATCAAATATAAAATACACAACGATCATTCCTTGATATAACCTTACCAGGGCATTTCTTACACAAATTATTCTTAACGATACGTAATTTATTGCGTTCCGGAGAATCAGAGCCGGTTTATATTGCTCTGGTCTTCGAAAGATCATATCACATTTCAAATGAAAGCACCCCCGCTGCGAGAGTTGAGAGTTTCTACACCAG